GGTAGCCTTTGTTACAAAATGTCAGCCTTAGGTCTTTCTAGAACTGGACAATACAGAAAATACTTGGTAGCTTCATGCCAGGTGTTTGTGTGTTTAGCCCTTTTGCTGGGCTGGAGGGATTCCCTGAGGCCTGGGCTTTTCTTCCTCTTCCTGAGTGAACTGAATTCCAGAAATTCAACTGATGGGACCCTAGGCCTTTCTTCCTCTAGCAAAACAGAGCTTTATGAAAAGCTGTGTGAGTTAAAGGGCGAGGTAGTAGTTAGTAAATTTCCTCATTTTTTTCCTATTATAGCTGTAGAACCCTAAGGTTTTCTTTCTTAGGGAAACACCATGAAGCCCAGCTATCTCTTGTCTGTGGGGTAGTGTGAGGCTATGGGTGCCTACTCCCCACAGATCTCTGCCTAGAGGCTACGGGGTCTGGTTTATAATTGGGTGGGAATTGAAGCAGACTAAATTTAGAAAAGATCTCCTGGAATGGTGATCTCCCTTTTGAGAGATGTCTTGCTGGCCTTCTCCACTGCTGAGGGTGAGGGTTCAAATTGTAACAAAACATTTGTTGAGTGCTTTACTATGCGCTAGGCATTCTGTGTTTTGTTCACTTAAATGTTCCAATGTGTCCTCTGACATAAGTATTATCTCACTTCTCACAGAAGAGATTTAAACTCAAAGGGCTCATTCCACGTGCATAACTATGCCACTGGCTTCCTAGTTGTTTTGAGTAAAGGGTCATACACTGGAGAGCGGAAGATCACAGACATAACTTCTTTTGCTATTGTTTAGGGATTTTTTAAAAAAATTGTTTATGTACTTCCTATTAAATGTTTTAATCTTTATTTTTTTGCATATATGTGTTTACTGTCTGTGAAGATGCAAAGAAGGCATTCAATCTCCTAGGACCAGAGTTAGAGACAGTTTATTATTTTTCTTTCTTTTTTCTTAATTGTGCTAATCACCACCCACCACCACCCTCCCCAGTTTATTTTTTGAGTCTCCATATAAGTGATGGGAACTGAACCCAGGTCCTCTGGAAGATCAACTGGTGATCTTTTTTTTTTCCCCTTTGGGGTTTTTCGAGGCAGGGTTTCTCTGTGGCTTTGGAGGCTGTCCTGGAACTAGTTCTTGTATACCAGGCTGGTCTCGAACGCACAGAGATCTGCCTGCCTCTGCCTCCCGAGTGCTGGGATTAAAGGTGTGCACTATCGCCACCCAGCTTCGACTGGTGATCTTAATCACTGAACCATCTCTCTACTTATTTCCTTTATGTATTTGTGTGTGCATAGTACACATGTGAAGATCAGTTGCAGGTATCTGTTCTTTTTAATCATGGGTCCACTGGGTGGTGGTGGTGGTGGTAGCTGTGCCTGCCTTTAATCCTAGTACTTGGGAGACAGAGGCAGATGAATCTCTCGAGTTTGAGGCCAGTTTGGTCCAGGGCTACACAGAGAAACTCTACCTCAAAAGCCCCCAGCCCTCCATTGGGTCCTGGTGTTGAACTGAGGTGCCAGATGTGGTAGCACTTTTACCCACTGAACCATCAGCCCTGTGTGGGGAGACACACAACCACACACATCCACACACAACACACACACACACACACAGAGAGAGAGAGAGAGAGGGGGGGGGGAGAGGCCCCACCCTTAGAGATGACTCAGTACTTGACTGGACCTGGCCATCTGAGACAGAAGGTAATTTCTCCTCTTCCATGTACCCTACAGCGCTTCGGATCATTGAGGAGGAACCTGCTCTAGGGCCTGGGCCTACCATATCACCTACCCCCCCCCCTTTCTCTGAGCCCAGACTGTGGTAACTAACTTGTTGGGAAAAATAGGGAAGAGCCCTAAATTACAGTAAGGGGGCTTTGTACTGGCAGTGGATATCTGGGAACCCATGGAGTTCCTCATAAGCTGATAGGAGCCCTTGCAAGAGAATGAAGCCCTTTAGCCCTTAGCTGATTGTAGGAAAATCCTTCCCATGTTCACTATCTGCAAACAGTGAGGTTAGATCTACCTTAAATGTGTGTTTTCTTGTATAAGCAACAATGGTATGTTCTGAGCTTGGCTTGGGTCAGTGGGCAGGTGCAGGTTTTTTAGAAGGCAATAAATAGGAGGGCTGACTTGGCTTGGTGCAGGATGACAAGGGTCAGTGTCAGCCTCTGCACAAAAGATTTGTTTTTCATTGGAAATGATTTTAGGTGTCAAGTCCTGCTGGACCAGTGTTTTGTCTGTCTGCTACCCCACCCCTGTACATGCATGAGGATGATGCATGTATGAATGAGGTCAAATGCAAAAGCCTAGTTCTCTCTTCAAGCTCTCAAAGATCCCTGGTGGCAGCTCATCAGAACATTGCTGGATTTCTCGAAGTCCCTTTTGGTTTACCCTC